AACAGGCTCCAGGTGTAGACCACAGTGTAACTCAATGAGTCTATGGCGGAGTATGATGGGAACTGTAGTTGCAAACTCAGCATGACTATGCCATAAATACAAATAAGGTGTAAGGGGTTTGTTGAAATCACAACACCTGTTAAATTAGTCTCAAAATAGTTTTTTTTTACTTTTTGTCACACTTCGAAACCTCCTAGTTTAATACATAGTAAAATCCAAGTGTAAAAACACGCTGTTGGCAGACAAAGGAAATCCTGCCTGCCTGCCGAGCTGCTGCTAACGTTTGCTCAGTTTGTTTCTTACTTAAAATCCTTCATTTGGTTAAAATATACATACAATATGATTTAAAACTGGATAAAAAGTAAAATTATGACAGCTTCTAGCAGACAACATTGCTAATGCATGCGCAAAGGGGATATGACGCCATAGACAGGCGACCGGTGAAACGCTCTATTACTGGAACAAAATGTCAGATTTCCCTGGATTTGAACATTGTTGGAAACATGACATGTTTGAGATTATTTACATACACAACTCAAATATATAACATAGGTCTAATGTTTATATCCATGCAGAAATGTTACATATTGAAGCTTTAACACACACACAAACACCCAGACATAAGCCGTGCGGCATGAGAGAAGTCAGACAAAACAAGTTCCAAATGAGCACAATAGGTCTTGGGTCTGCATGTGCAATTGTCCCTAATTATGACAATGATTCAAGGGAGCTCCACATTCCAGTGCCTCTTATGGTTTTGCTGCTATGCATCTTGGAGCCTGTGGAGCCATTAACACGATACCAATCTCACCAATGGCTCCAGTTTGGGCCTCCCATGGGCTCCTGAATGCAACCTGTCCAGCTCAAGGGGATCCAAACATCCACCCCCTTCCCTCCTCTCTACACTCACACACTTTCCTCCCCCGAGGAGGTGGGCATCAGGACAAACAATCAATGCCAATGACAGATCCACGTCAGACAGAGCATAATTATGGGAACAGCGTTCTGAGAGATACTGTGTCATTAAAACCCACCGTCTCCACTCCAACTACACCAGACTCTTTCCTGATGCCTGTCCATGCTGTGAGGTGTGTGTGTGTGTGTGTGTGTGTGTGTGTGTGTGTGTGTGTGTGTGTGTGTGTGTGTGTGTGTGTTAGTGCATGAATGTCAAGCTGGACCAGTTTGTCCCTGTATAACTTTTTACGTAATTGCACCAGAGATTGCTGAGTGAACCTGTAAAGGTGAAGAGATGACATGACAGAGACATGAGACACAACCATGCGGGACTGAGGGTAGCCTCAAATGCTCTTGACAGCTGCAATTTGAGAACTAAATTGCTGAAAATACTTACATAGCTGCTGTCTGATTTTTGAAACCATTCTTGCCCCAGACACCATTAATGGAAGATTACTCAGAGGAAGATATGACACATCCACTTTGCACTGGCTGCAGAAAAGTGGTCATGGCACTCAATTTGCACAGGTATATCAGGATAATGTCCCGCAGGCACTGCAGAAAGACATAATCTGTGTTTATGTCTCTCTTTTCCTTCTAGGCAATAATTACGTTGTTGAGCCAAACAACAAATCATGTAGTGGAAAAACTAAACCAAGGAATAAATAAAATCTGTCTCTTTCAATTTAATGCCCAGTCACAAATCAATAAAATGGTAACTAAACTAAAAGCTGTGAAATACAACGTGATTCACACACTAACGCGTGCAGTACCTGAGCTATTACTTCTGTTAGCAAGTAGACACTGTTCTGCCCTACAAAGCCAAAATACAGTAACTACATATTTGGTCAAACCCTGTTTAAGACATTTTGACACCTGTTTTAACAGATAAAAAAATAAATAAATGTGAAATTTAAAGGGAAAACAAAACAACAAAACAGAGCTAAAAACCATAGCAAACTTAAGCTAAAGCAAATTTACCTACTTTCTGTAACTGAAACATCAGTTTTGATGCTCCAACATCTTAATAATTCAGTTTCCTTTACTTCATAAATAATCTAATAATAATGGAGGAACACCTGACAAACTAGTCCAGCTAAAAACAAACTAGTCTAGCTTAGCAGAGTAGCACTAACTGCCATCTCAGCTTCTGACTGGCAGAATTTATGTAATTTGATGTGGTTTAAAGGCGACATTTGAATTTAAGTCATTAAATATGACAAATATAATAACAAACAGTAGCCTATTAACAGTAAACATCCCGCTGATACAGAGCTACATTATTATTCACTTGGAGTTGTGTTTGTGGCCACCTAATGAATGTAAGGCCAATATTCACTCTCTTTTAGCTCTGCTTTTGGTCTCTACCATCTCCTGAGGGAAATAAATGGCCCTTGTAGCTGTAAACTGTGTGTGCATTTGAGTCTGTAGTGTGTAATTTGGTTTTCGGAGCTTTTCTTTTGCTAAAAAATAAACAAAACAGCCGCCTGCTGTGGCCATAAACAACAATATGAGTTGAGCGTGAACCAAAACAGTAAAGTTGCAGGCCAGAAAACCAAGACAATCATTTAAAACATTATAAAGCTCAGTAGAGTTGAGGGGAACTGCAGGTCAGTCTTGTGATAACAATGCTCACCTTTCACATACAAGCAGTGATCCATTATCCAGTATAAAAATACTGATTCTGATACATTTAAAGAGCTAGCTAAGAAAGCAATGAAAATGTTATGCTGGAGGATTTTCCACAACCTGGAATCCCAAACATTGTTCTTAGTAATGGCTTATAACAGATCTTTAAAACATTAACTATAATATGGACATTAAATGCAGCTTATAAACCTTTCACAAAAGGTTCCTTATTAGAAAGTGAAACCGGGGCAACTAATACATCTAATATGAAAACTAGCAAGTAATGAGCTCCACTGCATCGCATTTATCTTTCATCTTCTCCTCCACCGGGACAACAGAGGGGACGGTATCACAGCAACAGGTTTGTTTAGGGCAGCCTCTGTATCAGCAGGACTCGGACTGCTCGGCTCTGTTTGGAGTAACTTAGGCTGCTGTGAAAAAATCTGTGGCATGCTAAAAACATAATATACAGGAGCCTGGCATCCCTAAGAGAGAGTCTGACTGTCTGTTCCTCTCTGCAGGTAGCCATGTTTGGAAGTGCTGACAAACAGAGAAGAAAGACAGAATGCATGGGGTCCGGGCCGGTGGCTGGCTATTCGCCAAGATGTCACATCTTCCTCATATTTGGACTCCAACTATGGTCACCTTTCATAACTATGCTTTGATTGTATGTGTTTGGAGTAAACCACAGCACTTTGGATAGACTTCCCTTGCTTTATATGAATTTTGAGTTCGCACACAAAGCGTAAGGTATTCAAAATGTGTGTGTGTGTGTGTGTGTGCGTGTGTCGTTATATGGTCACATTTAGTTCTAGTCTCCCCTTGTCTTAGGGACGCCTGTACACAGGGGGATTTGCTTAAAGCCGTCACCCAATGAGTCAGTCACTAAGGTAGAGGAATCTCATAATTAAGGCCTCATTAAAGCTACACAGCCCAACTATGTTGGTTTACAGGGCAGACAGAAACCTCACAGATTCACAATGGGGCCATTCATAATACCTCACTTCTCTGAAGGAAAAGAGAAAAAGCAGTTGCTCTTAGCATTTGGGCAGATGTAATTGCAATCACTCAGCTTGTCTGATGCTGATAATGGGGCGATGGGAAATTCCTGTCAGAGTCGTGGCGCAGGGTGGTTTCGCAACCACTTTGGCAGGCTCCATGTTCCACTGCAGGGCAGCGAATGCGTTACGGCATGCTCACATAGCTGTCATTAAACACATTTCAAAGAAAAAGAACATAAGACAATCAAAACTCACAAGTGTGTGCCATTCTCTTGCTTCTTGAGCAATGAAAAGGCAAATATTATGTAAACGTATATCGTCTGTCATCCCTGCACTGTTAAACATGTTGAAAGACTTGTGAAAAAAAAAAGGAAAGTGAATATGCTTTAGCAATCCAAGTCACCTAATATACACTATAAATTCTGGCTGAGCTATTTTCAACATCTTTATTTTCATTTGTCATTTTCAAAACATTTCTCTTGACTGGTAGTTCATGTGAAAATTAAGCTGTGGGGAAATAAGAACACATATTAACTGGTACCTAAAAATGTTGGGCAGCCCATTTAGAAATAAAAAAAGTAATGTTTGTTTTCCAATTTTTTTGTGTGCTTTTCAGCAAGCAGCCCATTCCTGTCCTGAAATGTGTGCTACAGTAGGTGGCTGAAATAGCACGTGGGTGCAACGTTCTTGTGGTTGGTCCTCGGGTACAGTATGTGACAGTTGGCATCTCAGCAATGCTTCCATGAGAAGCCTCTATTATAAAGCATTCATGCAATGATGCTAACAAGCTCATTTTACTGGCTGGACAAGCATTTGTGCAATAAAGTCCAAGACCTTCTCATTAGTGCTTTGTGAGACCACCCAAGAAACAATATAGTGATATTAGAGCTTCTCTAATCATCTCCAAAGAGTAGCAATAAAGTCAATAAAGCAATAAATTTGCTGAACCCTCAGTATGTTGTGATGGACAACAGCTATTCAGTTTTAATTAAACCAGAAACTTGAGAAATATGAAATACATGGACGAAAGGTAATAGCCATTAGATTTAGTTCCCTGGACACACGATCCTGGATGACATGCAGAGTGTCTCATGTCAAGATGTTTTTAGTAATATTTTACAGGTAGATAACTGCAGTCATGAATTTACTTGGCAGTCTGCCAGTGTTTGCAAAGGTATTTAAGGTATTTTCGGTATTTTAAATTCAAATGACGGCACAGAGAAATGTTAAGTTTGTTGAACTCGTTTTCGTAAATAAATCTGAGATACTGAAAAGGATAAGATAAACTTATTGATTCCTAGTTGGGGGAAAAGAAAAAAAAAAAAAAAAAATTGATGGAATTCCCTGAGCTAGTGATTATAATTTGTATAAATCATTCACTATTATTACCATTATTATGTGCAGAGACCAAGTGGAAACATTTTAAAAAGTTTTAATTTCAAATTACAGCATAGTATGAGTAATAAAAAAATAGTAAAAAGATATAATTTTATTCTTGCAATAATCTGTGGTTTCAACAGGCCACGAGAGTGTAAATCAACATGTGATTCATACAATTCCTCAAACATAAATACCATATCAAATTTCAATGCTTTCCAATATTACTTGTGTATCAATTATGATAAATTACAAACATCTATATGTCAAGAAAAGAAGAAAATACAGTAAAAACAAAACAAATGATAAATGATAACACAAAAAAAGACTGTAAAAATAATCTTTAGGCTACCAAAACATCGTTCTCTTACAGCTCTCACAGCCAGAAGGTGTAACTCAATGTGTCTGACACATTTAAACAAGACTAAAGGCGTAGTCACATTATCACGAAAAACCTCTTGCACGTGCGTCTTCCATTAAAGCTCGCTCACATGTCTCTGGTGCACTGAGCTGAGTGGGGGTGCACCAAAAGTTCAAATTTGTTGAACTTTGACCCAAGCTGCACTGACCTTTGTGGGCGCAACCAATCGCTGTTCACCACAGCTTGAACTGAAAAACAAATGACTTGTTTTTGAATTTCCAGAACTGAACAATACCAAATTGGCCTCTCTGAAACACAGCATTGTAGCTAAGGTGGTACTGTTCAGTATAGCGCCACTCTGAGTCCTGAAGTGGTAAATACTGCGCTGACCAGCGCTTAACGTGTAGCACGAAACCTTTGTTTTTCTGTTGTAATGTCAATACGCCATAATAGCCCACAGCTATGCTAGCAGCTCTATGAGGTTGTACTTAGGCACAATGGTTCTTTGAGCTAAATGCTTACATCAGCATGCTGACAAGCTCACAATGACAATGCTTACATACTGATGTTTAGCAGGTATAATCTTATTTTAGCGTATTAGAATGCTAACATTGGTAACAATTCTTCCTGCAGGGGACGAGGGGGCATGTGTGTGAACCAAATTTCATGGCAAGCCATCCAATTTGGTGTTGCAATATTTCACTCAAACCCACAAATTGGATTCATTCTGGGACTGTGAATGTCTGTGCAAGGATTCACGGCAATCCATCAGATAGTTGTTGAGATATTTTGGTTTGAACCAGTCCTACCCCACTAGCATTGCTAAAAATGCACAATACATGCATAACACATGTAATCACATATGTGAGACATCACTTTTCCAAGATCTTGTGAGGCTGTATTCTGTCTATTGAGCATGTTTCCATTGTCCAGTGTACTCACAGTCTATGTACCATATAACATATATAAATGTGAGATTTAATCCATGATAATAACAAAAAACTATAGTTCATGAGTGTGTACATAGACAAAAATATAAACATGTCAGTATACATTAAACACATAAATGTACTTTTCCATGTTCCTTAGCTCTTCCAACATCAATCCAGAGAACATTAGAAACATTGACATTTGGTGTACCGCAAAGGTCTTCAACATCCATGAAAAATATACTGAAACAGACATATTCAATGCTTTATTTTCAGGTTATTTTATTGGTGAGGCAACGGGGCATCCGAGTTCCTCAGGGAAGTGGCAGTGCACTGTGAAAAACAAACTCAGTCCTCGAGTTCTTCACACTGTCCTTTCACCGTTGACAAGCGGTCAATGTCAATGTCAGCCTCGCTTCCTTCCTTCAAACCTTCCCCTGTGGTTTGGTACTGTTTGGTGGTGCTCATAAGCAGTCCGTTGAGAAAAAAAAGAAAAGAAAACGGCAGCAGTGGATGGCTTGGATATGATGCCCTGTTCATGTGTGTGAGGCTATACACCAAGCAGCATGCCCATAAAATCTGAACCGTTCTGTATTGTAATGGAAGCGCCTGCTGCATTATCCACAAATATGGAGGTGTACTGGCCGGCCTGCAGAGGAGAATACAACAAGAGTGATGCAGAAAGACTGCACAAATACAGATATTTTATGTTTGTGTGTCTTTTAGTGTGCTGCTCACCTGTAGCTCCAGCAGGCCCTGCACGCTGACTGTGAATATCTTGCTGTTACTTTCTAATCCAACAATCATCTCCAGTGAGCTGCAACAGGAATAGAGTACCACAATTTATGTCAAATCTGCATTCTTCAACACTTCAAGTGCAAAATGCCTTGTTTTAAAGGGATAGTTCCATATTTTGATAAATACTCTGAGCACAAAGGGCTGGAAACAGGTTCCATTTACAGGGCATAAGCACCTCTTGAGCTCACTAATTAACACATCGCTGTCGCTTTTTAGTCGAAATTCAAAAATGTGTTCAAATGTGCACAACCTCGTCTGACTGCTACTATTTACGACACTCAGATTCAGCAGGCCTCTTAGCAGAAGGTCGTAAAAATGCCATCACCGATAAGATAGCAAGGTTTATATGCTAGGATGCAGATATGCAGCCCATAGTATCGTCTTTACGCTATGTTTCAATGTATGGTGTCCTACTATGTGTTTTGAGATGATTTGTTCAAATTCGGATTTGTTTGGACTTCTCTTTACTTGTGGAAAAAGTGACAGTTCTAATTTACATGTTATATCTTGTTTGTTTAATCCAACCAAATAAGAACAGCTTCAGTGAAGAACCTTTCCCATAGACCATTATGGACTAAACATCTACAGACATGTCTGTAATAACAGCAGGACACAGAGGAGTGAACGGTGTAGAAGTTTTTAGACAGTTAAGAGATTAAGGCTAAAAAGTTGGGGATATACCTTTTAGATGATAGTGTTGTTTTATGGAAGATGACGCAAGTACCAGTGCTGCCATTTTCATGGGGGCTGCAGTTATTTATATGCAAACTCAGTGATCATTGTTATACAGGAATATACATAAATAAAGAATATGTTGAATGAGAGATTGCACTGAGTTACAGAAGCTAGAGGAACAGAGGATAGCCCGGACGTGACCTCATGACTCTTGGCCGGGACTAGTTGCCAAGCAACAGGCGGAGCCTCCAGGAAGTCCCGGGCCAAGAAGTAGTATGTATATATATATATATATATATATATATATATATATATAAGGCCCTGTAATTAGTGAGTGAGTGTTTTGAGTCTTTATGCTAAGGTAAGTTAGCCAGGTGCAGTTGGTAGTTGGCAGTATTTAGCGTGCAGACATGACACTGGTCAACTAATCTTCTCATCTAACTCACAGCAAGAACGAGAATAAGCGTATTTGCCAAAATGTCAAACTTTTTCTTTAACAACTCAGTGCTTTGAAAGTCTGTAGAGATGGTTGTAACATCGCTGCAGGCTTTAACCACACAACGAGAGCACTGGCTCCTGTTAAGTGGAAAATGCTACATTTTTATGGCAAATCAATCATGTTTGTCTTCACTCCAACTGCCATCGCAATGAGCCTCATTTCACATTCTCTGCATTTTCATGTGTGGGAGGGCGAGACTGGCTGGGGCTTTGGCTCGAAAAGCAAGAGCCAAGGACTCTTTTGGGTTAGGTAACCCATCATAATAATATTATTTATACGTTCCCCTCATTGTACCAAGCTAGAAGGGAGGCTGTGGAGTTCTGCACAGTCCGGGAGAGACTTTAGGGAGCAATTCATTTCATTCTTTATATAAATAGAAATTTTGAAATATTGGAAAGAACCGTTCCCAACTGGATTTGTGATTTTTCGCCATGTGGGCCTGCTGTATTAGATACTTCATTATCTGTCTCCCACATCCCAAACAAGGGCATTTCACTGCGGTGCTGCTGAATATAACAGGCTGCCTGATGTGTCAAAGGTGAGCCTATAAAGATTAGTTAGGCGACAGGGACAAGGGCCCTAAGTGAGAGGACATTTCCTTTAAAGACCTGCTCTGTTTTTATACAGGAAATGCCACACTGGTTCCACACAAAGTGTAACAGACAGTACCTTTAACAGTTCATAAATCCTGGTGAAAGTTAAGGCAGCACTGAACACTAATAAAATATCACTGTTACATGGAAAAACATAAACATTTTGCCAAACATGAATGTCAAGAAGTGTTGTTTTCGTAGTCAGAATTGAATAATTTACTTCTCTGGATCGATTTTATTAACCTTTTTCAGTTATTGGTGGTATAACTGACCAGCATGTGTTACAGACATAACAAATGAAAACCACATGGATACAATCTATTGAGGTAGAGTGTTATATAGGGTATATTTGATATGACTGAGTGTACGGTGGTTCTCCAGGATGTTTAACAATGACTGCATTTACATGAATATCCTGGTCATGTGTTATGCATGTAAATTATTGTTTTGAGTCTCTGCCTAAACCCGATTGGACCCGACCAGACCCGCCGGGTTCGGGCCCAAAACTGCTGCCGTAGTTTGGGCTGTAATTAATGAGTGAATTTGTTATTTATTTGTTTTGATAATAATTTGCACTATATTATATGTACACTGTAGTTTACTTTAGCTTGTAGTAAACAATCTGAATTACTGTATTTTTTTAAAAGAGGAAATTTGGTTTCGGGTTGGACTCGGGCCCAAAACTGCTTTTCGTGGTTTGGTTCGGGCTCGCACAGAGTTTTGGTGGCTTTTTTGGGCCGGATGGAAGTTCTAATGTAATCCTGGTTTCAGAAGCCTGGATGAACCCATATCGTGACCATGCTACCTGAAGTAGTTTCCCATAGAAACCAGTAAAGTGTGGTGAGTAAACGCCTTATCCAGGTTTCTGAACATTTTCTGTTGGTACAGACTATAGTGGCTGAGAGACATCATGACAGATGACGCACAGATGACCGGAAACCTGCATACTATTAGAATCATGTACTGTATACGTGGATATGAATAACCAGTGCACTCAATGGTACAGAATACCTACGTGTATCTGTGGCAGAGTGATTCGATGCAGATCAGCACCCGAACATTATCCCTGGCCTTGAGCTGACTCTTGCTCCTCTTCACCTCATTGTGGTCTGCACAGGAGGAAAAATGTTCACAATGACACATAGATTAATACATACAAGGATTTACTAGCTCTACACTGCAATACAACAACAATGCGGTTTCTTTATTTCCATATCTTCTACATCAGTGGTTTTCAAACTTTTATTTTTTCATCTAAGTAACCCCAGGACTAGAAAAAAAAAATGTCAGCATGCAATAACACTAAGATAGCCTCGTATTTGCAATTTACTTTTGATAAGTTGAACTTATTTAGTGAGAAACACAGTGTTGTTATCATAGACTGCATTATGTATTATGGTAGAACTTGATAGACATAGCAACAGTAACTAAGTGGGGGCTGGACTTGGCAAACAATCAATAATAACTTATTGGCTGGGCTGTTCCATGACTGTTTTAGACTTTAGTGTACTGTAACAGCCGATATAAGACATAAGTACAATATACTGTGATGTACCAATGTGGACATTAGCGGAGAACTGGTAGATCCCAGTGATGGGAGCGGTGAATCTGCCGGTAGACTGGTCCATTCCCGACCCTCTGAGGAAGGCTCCTTTAGCTGGTGGCTGAAAGCAAAGAAAAAAATAATGACTATGTTTACATTTTAGAGCAATAATGCATTTTTGCCCCTCACACTTTCCTCTGGGAGCTCAGCTATAGAGCAGCAGACAGGCATTCAGTGTCTTGCTCAAGGACATTTCAGTAGAGCACCTAAAGGCCCGTTCACGTCAGCATTTTTCATTTTATAGTGAAAAAAATCTAGTTATTGCTGTTTTATGTCAAGTTCAACTTTGGTGACCCCCAAATTTGTCACATTGATCAATAGCAAACTGAATTAAGACGTAGCTTATTCGATGTGTCACACCATCAACTTTAACCAATTTAACCTTCCTTTGTCAGATTATAATGTGCAATCGGTTAAAATCACTATATAAATATAAAATAACTTCAGAGAGCTATACAGCTCAACAGTGAGGTTAAGGAAGTAAATATTCCATTCACATAGAGGATTTTGATTATTAGCCATAATGTCGTACCCATCCAAGCTAGACCTATGCAAGCCGGGTGGCTAGTGTGTCAAAAGGCCCCTAAAGACCTGGATTCAGACCCCATTTTAATCCTCTGCCTCCTTGTGTACTTCTTTATTGTCCTCTGCAAAAACATGTGAATTATCCTTTACAACACCATAGTAACATGCCTATCCTAAGATAGTGCTGTGTTAGCATGTTAAATAGTTCGGCAAAGCTTAATCCTCTCTCCTCCAGCCTTGTCAGCCCATCCCAACAAGGCATAGTTCTTCCACTACAGCATGCTGTTTCAAACAGTGTCTATTTCTGTCCTCTCCACACTTTATTCCAAGTCAGAGACAGAGTGCCTTTTGTATGCCGCCCAGAGAGTGATGTGTAGAATTGAAAAAGTAGATATTTTTGACCAAAGAGCCAGTCTTGAGTCTCAGAGTGGTAGTGCAATGCTTTGCCAGTGCCAGTTACCAGAGAGGGGATGATCCTCTCATAATTCCCCCACATGCAAACTAAGCGATGATTACCAAACACTCGTTCTTTCAAACATAGTTAAGACAGAGAAGCAAATGGGTCAGAAACAAAGCGTGGAACCATGCAGAGGAGGATTAGCCAAAACCTCTCTTTTTCAGCCATGCACAGGGAGCGAAGCTGAACCAGTTCATAAACATTTACTTGGTTTCAAACAAACATACTGTCTGAAAGTTCTGGAGCTCCACCAGAGTCTTCTTGTCGACCACCACAGGTCCCTTGAGCTTGCAGTGGAAAGCCTCCTCTATTCGCCGGTAGGAGGTCATCCCCTCCAGGGTGAGGAGAGCCGTAGGTAGCTGGCTGGGGCTGGTTTGTCTGTCCAGTGCTGCTGCTCTCCTCTCTGTCGCCTCTGACAGAAACACATCCACAGTGCAGAATAGATTAACATTCAAATGATTCCTTCATTATAATGTGATGAAATACCAGAAATGTTGTGGACATAAACTGTTGATTATCTCTGCAAAATTAATGAAGGAACAACTTTGTAGCCCAAAAGGTAGCTGAAATGTGTCTGGCTGGAAAATCAACATGTTTCTACCTTTAATCATCTCTTTGAACTCCTGGAGAAGAACTTCCTGTGTCACTTCAGCCCCAGGAGAGCCAGGAGGTCCCTGTGGGCCTGGAGGACCAGGAGGACCAGGTGGACCAGGCTTAGTAGAGGAAACACGTACAAAACATTGTCATGCATGAAAATCATTAAGACGAATGAAAATGAACCAATTATCATAGAAAGTAGAATTTTTTATGCAAGACACAAACTGGGTTTACCAGGGGTCGTTTGCGTTTGCGACACTTTCCAGGGAAGTTGCCAACAGGTCTTTTGACAAAGTCCATCCATGATCCCAGTGGATCCACTCTCTGGTTGTCAGAAATCTGCAGCAGAAACCAAAAATGAATTATCAGGTCAGTATGAGTGTTAACCAAGTGTAACTACACCCTTCAGTTCTGCTAGCTCCCTCCCTCTCAGTGATCAGAGACCTGCAAAGGGAAGCCACTTTAGGGGGCGTGGCCTCAACACAGACCGGAGTGAGTGACAGACTGGCCACAGCAGTGTAGCAGGAACATCCAGCTGGCAGTCAGAGCTAACCACAGATAGTCTGCTGGAGCTTTTACAGTCACTAGAAGCACATTCACAGCTGTTCTACAGCCTGCGTCTAAAACACAAGTCTGAACCACTGTGCCAAACTAGAAGAATACTAAGTAAAGCGTTAGCATAAACTCCTGTGAATGATGCATCTCTATCGGCATACATCTAAAAATGAGCACAGCTGTTTTACAAACTCCTGTTGAAAGCGGAGGCTTGGGATGGTCGGCCTTCCTCCTTTGATTAGAGGGTGTCAACACTGTTTTTTTTATATAAATGTCATGACTTAACTTAGCCCCAAACGATCAACTCTTTGTCAGCATTGGCCTTGTAAAGTTCAGGGTGATTTAAAATAGTAGATGGTGTGATGATTTTCAATCGACAAAATGCTGATTTTCATAAATTTGGTAAGAATGTGAACATTAACACCAGCATTGATGTGTTTCATTGCATAATAAAATGAATAAGACAGGATTTTTAAAAATGCATATACATGTCCCATTATAGGAAGCCACCACACTGTGTTTTCATTCAATAATTGCAGCCTTTGAAAAAGTGCTATTTACTTATTAATCATATATTTTATTTTTAAACAATTCTGCCTATAATGCATAGGAAGCTACATTCAATGAGTCATTATTTCTTCCTTTAAACCATCACTGGAAAATCTTGCCCTAAGATACAATTAAATGGTGCCAGACACCAATGAAGGTCAAACAGGGAAACCTCTTTTCTTTCTGTCTCTCCCTCCCAGCCGACTGCAATTCCTCGAAGAGTCTTTTCAATTTGCCATCTAAGTTTAGTCCTCATTCTCCTTCGAAAGCTTCAGCTTATGCTTATTTTTTCATTCCATATAATTCACTCAGGTGCCACGTCAGTTCTTATTTGCCCAATAGACTTGGATGAATGTAAACAAACTTTGTCAAGTGATTTTTTTTTTTCTTTTTCAGCACATGAAAATTTCCATGAGCACTCTGGTGAAAAATGAGTCTGCCTGTGTATGTGTGATGTAGATTCTGTGGATTGCAGACCTCAATTACTGTAGTTTATAACAACATGTCAAAATGGCCAACACTTTCTCCCTCACCCAAAGACATGCTAGTATTTTCTTTTATTAATACCACTCGTTTGAGTAACGTAATGATGGAAAATTTAATAAACAAGATAACAAATGTATATACAGTATGTTCACCAGGGCCAGCTATGATTTAGGATTGTTAGTCTGTTTCCAAATCGTGTGTATGCTCCATCTTCTTATCTGAAATAACTCATTTATTATAAACTACTATATAGGAGACTGGGATCTGTTAGGGAGATAAGAAACACAGTTTCTCTGGAAGCAATATTTTTATTCTACAACTGACGTGTTTTCCTTTTGGTAAAATGTGAGCCTGAACGAATTCCAATTACAGAAAGCTCGAATCTTACCCTAACCCTTCCCCAAATGTCAAGTGCCTTCAGTTGAGATAGAAGAGGAGATAAAGACGAGCCATGGAGGTGAGCTGCCTGAAATGGAATTTGTTTAGGTTTGGCAGTGAGACATGGATCACTTATCTGCAAAACCAACATGCCCCTTTCTTCACTGTCAAAGACTTGCCTCTTGTTTCACCGCAACAAAGTAACTCCTTGTTTGTCTTTTCAATATACTGGAATAAAAACAGTTTTTTATACGTGGGATATATGTGACTTTCTCTTCTCACTGACAGCAGACAAAATAAACAACTTAACAGGCGCTGTGTTGGCTGAGTGTTGACTCATTCTGTGTTTTTGTTGTGATTTTGAGGCTTGGAAACAGATAAAAGCAAGACTGATTTGGTCAAGATGATTTGGTAGGAATAGTTTGGACATTTTGGGGGAAATACTTAAAGGACCATTGTGTAGGATTTAGTGGCATCTAGATGTGAAGCTGCAGTTGCAACTAACTGAACACCACTAACATCTGTATTTGACAATCTGGGAATAAGAACGGGTTTTGAAGTGAGTACAGTGGCTGCGAAAAACACAAAAAAGGCCCAATGTACAGCCAGTGTTTGGTTTGTCCGTTCCTGGCTACTGTAGAAGCATTGCAGTGCATGGCGGACTCCATAGAAGGCGATCTGCAGTGTCTGTAGAAAATAACGTCTCATTCTATGATAACGAAAACACGATATTATTATTATATTATAATATTCAGGTCCATTCAATATGAAGCTACAGCTAGCAGCTGGCTCCAAATAGCCCTTGGATAAAGCCTGTCTAGCTGTTTGCAATCTTTATGCTAAGCTAAGCTAGCCAGATGCTGGCTGTAGCTTCTTATTTACCACTCAGACATGACATTTTCCAAACTACTCCTTTTAAGATGCCAGTTCTGTAAGCTTGAACAAATATTAACATGTTGACGACTGGGGGTTGTACTAGTATTTCCTGCCTGTGGCAGTTTGAGTATATTTCCACTGGGATTGATTGTAAAACTGTGAATCATCACCTCAGACACTTTTAGACAGCTCAGTTTGATATACAAATGACACCCATCCAATTATGAGAGCCAGCTAACTCCAAAAAAAGTCAAAGCTTCACATTTCTTCTTGTGTTTATATCAGTGTCACAGATCGTCTTGCTTTTCCTGAGATATGAAACAGTTGGCCCACACATGTGACTTATAATTACACATCTTAGCCATTCCCTACATAATAATAAAAAAGACAGCATATCATTGCCAGGAAATCAGCCATACTTGTTATCCTCTTTAACACACGCCATTGTAATTAAACCATTAAAATCTTGCCCTCAAGGATTTTCTGTGCTCAAGGAAGAAAGCTATGACCAAGGTAATTATTACCTTCATTTCTGAACTAAAAAGTAACAGCAAATCACTGTATAAATAATTTTGTCTTTACACTTTAACACTTTCCATTTAACAGATTTGTGTTTTTATTTTAAGCATGTGCATTGTCGGAGCCTAACATAGTGACAGCTGGGATGGTTCACACAACTTGCCAAAAAGAAATCTGATTCATTGTAAGCAGGTGAGTCTCTGTCTCGACTGAGAACATCAAAGACTCCGCACATGCAGACACGAAAACCATATTGCTTGATGACATAGAAAAACCTGTCAGAGGCGTTCAATCTCTCACTCGCTGCTATTGACTGTGGCGTAAAGTAAACTATGGATTCCCTGGCATAGCTCTGTATCAGCACGTACAACTCGTGAACAAAGTGGGGAGGGAGTGGATCCAGGTATCAGTCTGAGAGTTGATGAAGAACACCAGGGCTCTGGCTTTGATCATCGCTGATGTGTGAGTGCCTCAAAGTGGCCTCGTCTGTCAGCAGGTGTGAGCGCACGCCTTTTCCAGCACGGACTCGGAGAATGTGTCAGGTATTCTGTCTAAAGGTGAGAAACTTTAAATCTTCTAGACAGTGTTTATCTTTTATTCATGGCGCTCTAAATCATGACACATTACTGAGGCTCAGATCTGAAGAAAGGGATGCATTGTGTCCACGGTTTGGAAAAAGTATTAACATGCTGGTAAGTAAAAGTACCAACACAACAACGTAAAGGTATTCCATTAGAAGTAGAAGCCCGGCATTCAGTGTTACGCGCTTATCTGCTTTCTTGCAGAGAGACTGATGAGAAAATCGATTAACAGCAGCCGGTTTGCTTAGTTTAGCACAAAGACTGGAAATGGGGAAACAGCTAGCTCTGGCTCTGTCCACCAGATACAAAGACGTCATCATAATTTAAAGTTCATGCACATATTCAGTGGGTTGCACAACCAGGAAGTAAACTCAGATGCTAGAAAACGTTGTTGGCTTATGCACCAGGCAAAGAATTCGCATTGGTCTGAACAGGCACCATCTTGGCGTTCGGTATCTAGTCAGATATGAGAGTAATGTCTATATTCTCATTGTGGCATTCCCTGCCATAGAGCGAATAAGCATGTTTCCTAAAATGTCAAACTATTCCTTTAACTTCTTTATATACTGTCAGGTAGTTTAGTCCAGTGGTTTCCAACCTGGGGGTCAGGCCCCTGCCAGAGGGTCACAAGATAGATCTGGGTGGGGTCGTGAGATGATTAATGGGGTAGGGAAAAGAAAAAACAAAGTTTCTGCTTCACAAATTTGTATTAATATTTTGGACTTCTCTCTAATATTTGTTTTATTGTGAAATGGTATAAGCATAATTTTCTTTGGGCCTTGAGCAGTTATTAAAATAAAACCCTCTGAGAAATTTAGAGGGGAACTGCTAACAACTCTTAGACATCTGAAACATGTCAAGGGGCCCCAACTAGAGACAGTTTTTTTTTTATAAGGGGTCACAGACCAAAAAGAGTGGGGACACTTGGTTTAATCTTTTACAGTGCATTGCATTTTATAAGCTTATTATATGTCTTATAAAATCTTAATTTGTTCAGTAAAGCCCAGTAAAAAGTATTATATTTGCTTCTGAAAAGAAGTTGGAGAGTTGAAGTATACAACTGCATAAAATGGAAATAAAGTACAAATACCTGAAGTACAGTATTTGAGTAAATATGCTCTCCACCACTGATTTTGCCTCGTACTCGTGGTGCACACTAAAAGTGAAGAGTTGTTTTATTAACCTCCAGCACAGTGAGTTTGGAGATTTTGGATCAATTAATGAATCAGTTGTAATCATAGTGGATCTTTCACAGAGGCCTTATGAGATTTTATTACCCAGAAAGAGAATGATTTTGGTCTGCATGAATAATACTTCTGTGTGCACTGCTTTAAGTGTGTTTGTCATGTAGTTTGGGGAAAATTAGGTTGAATTTATTTGAAGCAATAAAATGGGAAAATATTTCCCCGGGGCAGCATGCCACCAAAAACACAAACACAACTGTTAAAACACGTCTCTGGGGCTGCAACCAGATACTGAAACTCTACTCCACTGCAGGCAGCTCCTGAATTCTTCCATGTACAGCTGAACTTATCTTGTTTTCTTTCGTGTGATATCTGTTTTTCTACCTGTTCATACACACTTGATGACATGAAACTTTTTGCTGCTGATAAAAAAATGTTGCACACGCAGGTTTAAGGTTGGACAGGATGATGGAGAGCCCTCTTTAATCCCTTGTTTTTACATCCCTGTGCTGCTCCCTGCGCAGTCATCCATGCATGGGTGGACGGGCCTTAACACTGGGCCGATCCCACCCCGGGAGGCAGGGATCCCCAGGCTGTGTGGGACGAGGGGATCCTGGTAACCTGCGTGCATCCCAGTCGTCATGCATCCACCCCCGTGTTCCCCACCGCTGCACTTCACAGAAACAGATTGCCTTGAGGATTTATCACCGAAGAGCTAAATACAGTTAGGCATGCAATGTTGACTCTGTTCTCTTCAAACTGTGTTATTACTCAATTGGCAAGCACCGTGTGCAAAACATAATTACTCTATCACACTATGAGGATGCTGCTATTAGTTCAACAACTGTTGAAGCAACACCATTTGAAAGGGTAAATGAAACACGGTTATTATATAATGATACCGTTGAACATGCTTCTTATAATGTGCCTTGATTTTAACTTCACTGTTGTCCCAACAAAGGTGTGTATGCATTTATTATGTGTGAGAGAAAGTGAATAAATTTGTGTTTATGCTTAAGAAATCACCAGGGACAATCTTGGCTTCCTCTTGATATAAAAAGGCAATACAAGCTGAAAGAAACCTTGAGCGCTGTGTCACATCTGTTTTGTGTACGAATTATAGCTTTGAAATTGGAGTGAGTGCTCATTTTCCCTGTGGTAGGTAAAATGAGCTGTTGAAAAGCTCCAGTGATCCTGATCCATCTCAGGTAAACAGGTTTGCCCCATAGTTTGACTGCAGGCAGAACATTTCAGGTAAGAAGTCATTAGATCCTCCTCCTTTTATATGATTCATTTGTGGCTCTGCGTTATGTTACATAAGTACACACTGTAAATGGTTCATTTTTCTTTTCTTACTCTTATTATGCAACTAATTTGCCTCTGTCGTCTTGGGTTACAACTTCCAAGTTGTTGGAGAGATTTGACAGGTGGTGACATGAACAAGGGAACAGGGTATTAACTCAAAGTGTGAAACTTTTGTACATTATGTATATTTGAATGAATTTATTTTGAAAGGAATAGTTCGACATTTTGGGAAACACATATTCGCTCTTTTGTCAAGTGTTAGATGAGGAAATCGGTCCCACTCTCATGTATGTTTCCCTGGTTCCAGTTTTAATGCTAAGCTACCAGACAGTGAGCCTGGTTTGCTCTGTCAGAAGGTAACAACATCTCTAAATCTCACCTCTTGTTTTTTTAATCTGTGCAAAAACCAAAAAGTAAAAATCACACGCTTACAGCATATAACCCCTGGGATTTGGGGCTAGCTGTTTCCAGTCTTTATGCTAAGTTAAGCTAACCATCTCCTGGCTGTAGCTTTATATTTATCGTACAGTTAAAAGAGTGGTGTTCATTTTATAATAAGCTTATATCCCTAAATGTCAAACAACTCCTTTAATAGTAAATGTCATGTAAGATATCTATTATATGTTTTATATGAACTACTGTGACCTGACTGCTGCACAGGAAATAGAAATACAACATAATTAACAATGTCAACCCTCTCTAATGCAGTATTAATGTGATTTTCTTTATACAACTGCAAATTATAATGCATGTATACATTTGAAGCATAAAATCTGAAATACCATCCTCCATTGTTAATAACAACATAACAAATGACCAGCTCACGCTGACTAATCAGCACTACGGTTGCCACAATTGACCAATGTTCTGTTAAGTGTAGTAATAATTCTGAAATCATGGTTTCGGGAACATGACCAGCACATGATAAGAATCAGGCAAGATTAAGGGATTTCTATAAATCTGGCATCAATCTGAAGCTATTAAAAATTAAACAAAATCCAAATCAAACATTCCCTCTATGTGTGCGACGCTGTACAGTTTATTTTACTTACAGAAGAGTTTATGTTATATTTGTTTCTTTTACACTCTCTTCCAGACGATTTAAATATGTTAAATGAGCTTTAAATAAACTTTAGTTGTCTGAAATGTTGCAGGCAGAGTTCAGTGTCATGCAGCACAGATTACAGGTAGTTCACACCTTTAGTAATATATGAAAAGGTGTGTGCTCTCTCAGTGGCGTTTGTTTCTTGCGGGACTTGTCTCTCTATGTGTAGGTCGATCCAAAAGGTCCCACACATTGCTGCATTAATCATCACTGGGGATGAGAGAGAGGAAACAAAAACCCTCGCCTGGGGCTAAACCCAGCCATTACTCAACACGCCAGGCGTGATGTTTGACTTGACTCCCTCAATTACAGCCATCACAGATCCCTCGCTGCTCTCAACAATGACAGATTCCTCTCATCTTCAGAGTGGAGAGCAATAAGACTTACATATGTGCACCTTTTGACATTTTGCTCTAAAATTGTACAACGTGATGATTCACAGAGATCGCAGTTTGTTTGAAATGTACTTCAGTTATCGTCTCATTAAAAAAATTCCACTCACAGCACAACTCCACACCTCACTATTGTGATCACTTTCAAATGGAAAATCTCCCGAGGAATGCAGTGTACGACTGCACGCTGCCAACAGCCCACACACGGGATTGGTCAGATAGAAAGCGAATGCCATCATAAGAGCTGTTTCCACTGTTTCCACTGGGCACAAGGGAAAAACATGTAAATGTGGAGTGTAAATGTTTGGCTTGTTTGAGAACACAAATTTCTTGCCAAGACAGCTCCAATGGACATGTTGTTTTCTCTGGGACCTAACAGATGTGTAATAGGATAAACTTACAAACTACCCAAGAAAAGAAACCACTTTTCTTGGTGTGTGGCATTTTTTTCTTCTTCTGTTGAACAGAAACCTGGATAAGGTGGCACCAACAAATGCGACCTTGAATACAACCACTTCCACAGATGTCAAGCTTAAAGCTCAGGTTCTCATCAGAGGTGACAATGTTTGGCAAAGACACTATCTGGCATAACAGTGCGTCTTAAGAGTGATTATGTCATTACCCTCTGATTGTGGGAGATGAGATGAAAAGAATGTTAGAGAGGGAGGCACAGGGGGCTAATCCTCACCGAGGTGTTCTCTTTCAGGACCCTTTCTATGGGGCTTTGTGAGGGGCTTACACGGCATGCTGCCCCAGTTTTCGGGGCCGCACCGCCCCTATCGGATGTCCCAGACACAGCGGAGTCAGACTAGGCCTGTGAATGACAGAATCAATGGGCTGGGAACAACATCGCCATAGGTCTTTAAATATCTGCCCACCTAACTTTCCCAGGAGTTACATCATGGCAGCCGGCCTATAAGGGACCTCGGGGGAAAATAGTGTTTGTGAAGACACCCGGCTCCCTGTGGGACGAGACAGAGGAGTGAAATCCCAGTGGGGTGCAATCTTCTGCAGGCTTGAGGGTTGACACAAGGTCATCCTTCATAGCCTCTGCTTTTACAGGGCAAACCAAGTCAAATAAACACCACCAGGCCACAGCCACCTACAATGTGTTCTTAAAGATACAAAGGAGACCTCACTGCTTGGTTTCAATACGGGGGGGGACGCGGTGATGGTTACGGTTAGGATTCCAGAAAACTGGCTGCTGGTTAGGGCTGAAGGCTGGTATATAGGGCAGTGAGAGTTATATGAGAATGCCAACATAATGGGTGGGCTGAAAGCAAAACAAATAGCCCGTTGGAAACCCTCGCAAATATGCAACACCAGCAATAAACCAATAAATAACAGAGTCAGGGGCCAACTCAAAATGGAATTGTACCACTGTAATGCAGTTTTGTTAGAGCAGTACGTTTCTAATGAAAACAACGTTGGTCTTCAGTTACAGATGAGTATTTTTCCCCACTTGTTGTCATAGTAACAATTCTCTCCAGCAACAAGAAACTTTTATTTTTCATCTTCAGTTAGTCTGTTTATAACTTAATTTCCTGCTGCAGAGACTATAAATATCTTATCTGCCTGATACATGAAACTTCACTTCATCCCCAATTGTTTTTTTCACATGGGCTGGAAAATTGGTGGCAGACACCCGCAGCGCGCGCTAATTGATGCATTGATCAGCCTTTAGATGTCCACATTCCTGGCATACCTCCGGAAGTCATCCATTTAGTGTTTCACACATTTTGGTCCGTCTCACTGTCTGAGGCTTGACCTAGTAGGGCACACCTGTCCTGTCCTAGCTTTTACCTTTGCCGCAGTTTATTTGCCCCACATTGCCTGTGCTGACAAGAAATCTGAACATATCTACGGTCTTTAAACTTTATTTTGCACTATTGTTTTTCTATCATCAATAAAAAGCACATAAATACTAGGCGGTCTATATAAAATAAGCTTAAACATTTAATTTTTACATTTAGAGAGTTTTAGTCACTACCTTGATGCTTCCACCGACCTCTTCACTGTTGGAGAGAGTAGCATTGAAGGTCTCTGTGTGTTGTGGGGTGGCCTCCTTTGGCCTCTTTCTCTCCTTCTTGGCATCCACCCCATCCAGAAGGACACACTGAGTCCAAAACACTGCAGCCACCACGGCCAGAGGCCCAGCCCCACACCACATCTTCACACTATTTTTCAACCAGCACCAGAATCCCTGCAAGAAACAACCTGAATCTTCTGCAGAGGACCAGCCGTGGGACTAGACAGACGCTGAGGATGCCCGCAAGGCTCGCAAACACAAAGTCCCAACGGAGGGAGAAGCAGACCAGAGGAATGCAGCTTCAGGGACTCCCTGTCCAAGAGACTGTCAGACTGACTGCTGCCGCCGTTGCTCCCCTCTTGATGAGCTCTCAGCCAGCACAACGTTGCAGGGGCACTGTTAACTCTAGCCAGAAAGCCAGGAGGCTTACTCAACTATGAAATGTGTCAAGCAGAATGGTCCAAGGGAATGACAGATCGGCACAGATCTGACAGCAAATAAACCCATTAGTGAGATTTTTCACGCTTTCTGCTCTGTTGGGGGGTGAGGTGTAGAGGAAGGGGTGGGTGGGGGGGGGGGTGGGGGGTGGGGGGTTACAGGGGGCAAAAGAAGAGGCAGAGAGGAGGGGCGTCCAAAGATGAGGGTGGGCTGTGGGGGCTAGAGATGGATGGCAATATTCTCTTTTTCCCACTGCTCTCTCCTGCTGTTTCTCACACTGAGCAGTGGATCCAGTCTCCAGAAAAGTTGTGCGGTGGCTGGAAAAGCTGCAAGATCCACAACAGTTGGGCTCTCATCAAAAGTTGCAGTTCGGTGTTCAAATCAATCTGTCTGTGCGCACACCACACACCCGCGGGGATGCAGCCCAAGAGGGGGATGGAGGAGGTCCAGCTCTGATCTTTGCCCAGTCTTCTTCTTTTCTCCTTAAAGTAGGAACTGACTCCTCACTTCACACAGGTAGCAGTGTGCTCTTCTGCTTCTGTCTGACACAACTCAGGTGCTCCCTTCAAACTCTCTCCAACAAGTCATCAAGTCCAAGGGCACGTGCGAGTTTCACGTCAGAGAGGAGTGACTTGTTGTGCGGGGTCCCTTTCTTCTTTGCTCCGTTTGCACACCCTGTCCCTCTGGTCTCAGTTGCTTCTTTGCTCTGACTGAGCTTACAGGAGGGCTCACAGTGGAGTTTTATCATCACCCTTTCTCCCTCCCGCTTCTCTTTCTCCCCCTCTCCCACTCCCTCTCCCTGTCTCTCTCACTGCTTCTCTTCTCCCTTGCCTCTATTGGCAATCTTACTAGCTTATTCAGCCCTGTTTTATCTCATAGATGAAATGCTCAAGCTGAAGAGGTTCTTTGGCAGACAAGTTGTGTGTGTGTGTGTGTGTGTGTGCGCGCATGTGTGTGATGTGTATAAAGTCGTGTATCTGCCTGAGAGTGTCTGTCATTTTGGCTCAATATTAGCCTACTCTACCAAAGCCCTCTGTTTAGATCCGAGCAAGAAATTGAAATTGACTTTTTTTGTGACCTTAAGGCATTATCTTGTGTAATCTGTTGATTGAAAACCTGCCAAAGAATCCTGACTGTGCTGTATACCGCAGTTTGCTTTATCCTGTGTTGATGTTCAGCAAAATGTCTCACTTTTCTGGACGATTTGAAGTAATACTTACATTTCAAGTAGCGTAAAATGCAGGTTCCAGTAAATAACATATGACTGATGTGTGTACAAATTGTTGGTCTCAGTATTCCTACAATCAGCTCATTTGTCTCAAAGGAATTCAGCCCTTTCATACTCTTATGATGATAAATAACACATTAGCTCATGAGTGCCTACCAGTTACTTTTTTTTTTTTTTTTTACTTCACAACTTATATTTTTAGACTGCTTTTTGTTTTACTTGATATTATTACATTTTAACACAGCGCCACCCAGAGGCAGCAGCCCGCAGTACAAGCAACTAACCAGTACCCTTCCAGTATGGCTCCATACTGGTGCCATCCTAGTTCCTGTATCCGCTGGCACATCTGTGTGAGAGCAGCAGCAGCCAACAGTCAAGTTTGACAGAGGGAAACAGAACAAAACAGGAAATTGGGTAATTTTGCCTTTAAAATAAAACAAGGCTTTTTGTTTGGTTTGTCCCAAGTCTGCTTTTTTCAGCCATTTATTACTTTAGTGAACTATTTTAAACATTTAGCCATTCATTTTTAGCTATTTCACCTGGTTATCCATTACTTTACACCATTTCACTATGTGTCAATTTCATTTAGTTACCTATTTGAACCATTTATTCATTGGCTACCCAACAATGTAGCTATTACCATTAATAGCTAACAATTTCAACTACATTTTAACAATTTATCCATTATCTTTACCTATATTCTTAAGTTATCTATCCAGATATCTATATACTTAAGGCTAACTATTTCAACTGTTTATCCAGTGTCAAAATCATCTTTATTGGCCAAGTGTGCACACATGCAAGGAATTTGACTCTCACAGGAATAGACATACAGTAACAGCTAGGAACAAGAACAGCAACGCTGAATATATTAAGGTACAGACCAGGAATGACTATATGCAAAAGTATGTATAGGTGTATATATAAATATATATAAAAAGCACTAATGTACTGCTAACAACCACTAACACCGTCACCACACAACAACCACAGTCTGTCCTCCTCTGGAGTGGCGTGAACACAACTGTGCACAGAGAGATCTTTGTTTTTTGTTTAAGTTATACCTCACATGAGGTTTTACAATGTAATTATTATTACACCATATATTAACCGACCATTTTTTTTATATTTTTTATACATAAGAAACCTTTTACTCCTGATTTCCTGAATATCACGTAGTAACCTGTTCTGGAAAACGAGTGACACTCACAAACCCAAGGATGACAATGTGAAATATCCCAGTTAAATATTATTTTAGGTAATAATAATACACTCTATTCACACAGCACTTTCCATCCTGTCTCAGGATTAAAACATTTCAGGAGGCACTAGGCAAAAATAAAATCCAAACAATTAAAATCATATAGAAGTGAGGTAGAATAACAGAATAAAAGACCCCACCAAAAATAAATATCACTGCTTTTACTACGTTTTATTTTGAAAGTGCCGACCGGAAGCTACACTTACACTCCCGTCCCACAGAAAGCTTTGCGGCTGCGCACAAACCAGCACAGCTGACAGCTGGAGTGAATTAACGCTAGCTGGAACATCGACAAGGGCTTTTTTTTTCCTTTTTTGTAGCCACTCCGTGTTTTCTTCGTTTGACCCGTCCCACATCGCGGAGTGGGAGTGTAGCGGAGGAGCCACGTGTACAGGAACTGGGATCTGACAGCTCGCCTTACTGGAACCAGCGCAGGTCTGTTTTTACCAGTTAGCATTAGCCGGCTGGCACTTGACTAAACACTGCCGCCCCTCAACACTTCCACAAGTCGTTTGAACTTCTCCGTCGTGGTGTGTAGTCGTCGTGCTTGTCAAGGTTGGTAGCTGCTCTACTCAACATCCTTTCCCGCTTGGATTTTAGACTCTTTGTTGTACCCGGGTGGCGCCAATCGATAATGTTTTTATTAGCCTGCGTGTGTTAGCCACTTAGCTCGCGTAACGTCAGTCAGCTGCGGTGTCAGACAATTCGAATGACGTGACGAGGCTAGATTCACGAGCTAGCCGTTAATTACGGAAAGCAAACCGTTGGCTGCTTTTATGAGCACGTAAATCCGTGTTGGTAAATCATATTAACGTGGCAAATGTGGGCATAAATAACGATGTAAAAGGCTTGACGGTTAAGATGTTATGTCCTTATTGCAGCACCGTTGAAGCGTTCACTTTTGTTATAACCAAACTGTGTTTATATTAGTTTTTAAATCGCTAGAGAACAAACTCCAGAGGACATTACTCGAGTTTTAAAATCGCCTTTCAGTGTGTTTGATCGTTTCTTTTGCTTTTAACTGCTTATATCTGTGTATTCATGGATTTTATAAAGGCTTTTGTTGACTCTGGCTAGCTGTTTTTACTTTTTTTCTTGAATTCCCAACATAACTTAACCTTACCTGCCAGATGTGAGTCGGAATTTCCATTGGGCGTGTTTCAATTACGGGAAATCCAATTGGACGTGAACGCGACATCTAACTTGAGGAAAACAGTGTAAAAAAATAAAAAAAATGGTTCCCAACCTTTTTCCTTAAGGGATCCTTTTTTTTATATCCTTGAGTAAACTGACGACCCCTGACATATTTTATGGATATTAACAGTACAGAACAGCTTAAAAACTGTACAATGAACCCAAATAACTGCAGGACGTTTGGACTTTGAGCAGATTATTTCCTGTAAATATTACATCAGATGTGAGTTTTCTGTGTCTGTTCATTTATTTTTCTTCACAGAATTAGACAAAATGCTGAGATATAGGCCTACAGTGTATATTTTAAAGTTTTCTTACACCACATAAACTCAAGGAGGCCTCACGACCCCCAGGGGTTTCAGAGTTAGTTCCCATAACTAAACCTTTGCATTTACATGTCTTTTTTTTTACAGTCATGGCTGTTTGTAGGAAATTGTGCTGCGGAAACCTTCTGGCTGCGTCTCTGCTTTTCTTCGTCCTGCTCCAAAGCATGGATGTGCACGCACGGCCAGCCAATATGTCAGCCTCTAAAGATAAGTCTCCTCCGAACAAGGACGAGAACGAGATTCTTCCCCCAGACCACCTGAATGGGGTGAAAATGGAGATGGATGGCCACCTCAATAAGGACTTCCACCAGGAGGTGTTCCTGGGTAAAGAGATGGAGGAGTTTGAGGAGGACTCTGAGCCAAGGAGGAACAGGAAGAAGCTTATTGACATATTCACCAAGTAAGATCTGTGTTTCTGTGTGATTTATTGTTTCAGTCTCAGTCAGGAGTTACAGCATTCCTGAGATAAATGGTTGAGCGTAGCTGCTGATCAGGTTCTCCAGAAGTCACCAGCGTTAAGTCAAAGCAGCTGCAGGGCTATAAATGCCAAATATTTGAATACTAGACTAGCAAAGAGGTGTAACTTAAAAATATCTCATATGCTTCGATAACTATACTTATCACTGTTCTGAGAAGCTGAAGGGGTGTCGTGTTTTGATGTGATCTGCTTGTGTCCCAACATGGTTTTTGCAAAACAGACACAGAACGAGAAAGGGAAAGAGTATTTTGTAACCTCAGTTTTATGTATGCGATGTAACTTCCCTCGTCGTAGAAGGCAGAACCATACCCGGAAAACAGTTTCACATAAGAACAAAAATGAGGCAACGTGTAAGAATCAGTAATGAAAGAAAGAATGCACTTATGTTTTTAAAAAAAACAGTTATGTTAGCTGTGCAAATATTTCTCTGCATAGTCAGTGGTGGAGCAGATTCTTTACTTAAATAAAAGTACTAATACCACACGGAAAAAAGACTCCATTATAAGTAAATGTTCTATATTGTAAAAGAAAGTACAAAAGTAGTATCAGGAAACTGTAAAGTATCAAATACTCTAAGCAGAGATTTGTGAGTGTGTAAAGTGAATATATAATGTGTACATATACACAAAGGCTTAAAAGAGA